GAAGGCGACTAACGGGATCGAGTGGTCAGGCTCGTTGACTTGGTTGATGCATATCGTCGTTTCCCGTCGATGCTAAAGATGTCAATCACTTGATTGGCTGGTCCAGATTCGATTATTTTAAGACGGCCACCATATAACTGGAACAGTGAGGCGTTAAACAACAAAAAGACGAACCATCCTTGGCTCCATCTGTAAATATACATTTGTAAGTGTCGTATGTGTTTCTTAATTGATTGTGTTCTTGTTGGTAAAGTAGTTGGTTTGTATCCGTTCTTTTGTTAATGTAAGGTCTACCTCTGGCTTTACCATTTGCCAAGGATGCGACGACAAAAGTTGGTTGGGATCTATACCTTGATATAAGAAACAGAAAAGGCAGATTTGATTCTGATTCCGAGTGGTGGAACAAGAGATATTTTCTTATTGTAAATAACTTTGTAAAGAAAATTAAAGACGCAATTGAAAGCTGGATTTGACTGATTGAGTATAATTGGGTGATGTATTTTGTAAATTACTTTTACATGTTTCACCATAGACGATAATAACGAATTAGAAACTACTTTCAACAAATCGAGTGCCTTGAGAAATTCAGCTTTAAGGTATTTAATATGCGTAAGAAAAGTTAAATGGTTATCAAAAATAGGTCCCAAGAACTTGGCCTCCTTTTACAACGTTGATAGGGCGCCATTCAAAAATAGTTAAGGGACAAAATGCGGCTAATATTTTCTGCAGAAATGAATAATATTTGTTTCTTATTGAGTTTTTTCCAGAGATCATTTGTGAAGTTTTTTGAGACAGATTTGTCGTATGACGTGACAAAATGGTACGGATGGTCAGGTTCGGTCACTTGGATGATTAGATGTCATGGAATCCCAATTGCATGGATCTATGCTCAGGATGTCATTCACTTGATCATATGGTTCAGACTCGATTATTTACAGACCGCCGTCGTATAGATGAAACAATTAATCAACAATCCGTAAATGATGTTTTGGGGTGTCGGGGTTTAGGTACATGTACATTGTATGGGAAACGCCTACACCAAACCATGTGCAGAAAAAAATGCTTTGTTTGGGCGACGGATAGATAGAATATTTTTATGAAAACTTCCCCCGATCGGGATTCTATCGAAAGTCACCTATGACTGTCATAAGGTTCTGAAACAACAGTGCCACGTCACTTTGTCTCACCTAGATATGTTTGTTTGTTTGTTTGTTTGTTTGTTTGTTGTTTAACGCTGCACTCAACAATATTCCAGCTATATGACGGCGGTCTGTAAATAATCGAGTCTGGACCAGACAATCCAGTGATTAATATCATGAGCATCGATCCACACAATTGTGATCGATGACATACATCAACCAAGTCAGCGGGCCTGACCACCCGATCCCGTTAGTCACCTTTGACGGCAAGCATGGGTTGCTGAAGACCTATTCTACCCCGAAATCTTCACGGGTCCTTTTTAAGTGACATTCGTGGATTCGGTTAGCTGTGTCCTTTGGCTTTCAGCTCCTTCTTTTCAAAATGGTACATACTGAATACGCCTGATATTGATATTGTAACTTTCGACGCAACGCCAATTTCGTTCCGATTATTTTCATAAAACACTAACAAAGGTTTGAATCATTCAGTGAAATTTCACTTTTCTAACTCATAATTACACCTTTTCGAACCTGTAATTACACCTTTCAAAACTTGTTATTTCCATTTCTAAACTTGTAATTACGCCTTTAAATCTAGTTATTACACCTTTAAAAACTTGTATTTGCATCTTTTAAACTTGAAATTACACCTTTAAAACATGTAACTACAACTTTTTATAAGTCGTAATTACACCTTTTTAACTTGTAATTACACCTTTATAACTTGTAATTACTACTTTACAACTTGTTATTACACCTTTAGAAACTTGTAAATACAACTTTACAACTTGTTATTACAACTTGTAAATAAAAAATGTTATCAATGAATTTGGCCCTAATAGGCTTTCGTATAAACCAGAGCATAATTTGGGAGTGACTAAGTCATAACTTCCTTGTGTCCCCATCATACAGCCAGACTGTGAACATGAATACACAGTAGAACCTTCTTTCTGTTAACGGTTCACAAAACACGTGCAAACGCATCGCTCGCTATTAAAGTCAATAAGTAAACATTAGAGGTCCCATAATAGTAAGTGCCCCGCCCGTTATCAAATTTGCACATGACTGTAAATCCTTTTTGTCTGTTATAGTGAAAGATGCATTTCTAAATTCTCATAATGACTTTTTTTCCAGGAAATAATTGTGAGTAAAGGTAAACACCAATCTGTGTCAGCGACGTTCCTCTTGTCTCGTGAATGTTTCACTGTCTTACTTCTACGTCAATTTGCCAATACTAAATGACTTAACGAAGTAAGTACTACTAACGTGGAGTTAAAATGTGGAAAACATATTGACAACACCTTTTTTAGCACCCAACGAAATGTCACTCCGATTGATGCGAAGCTGTGTCGGAAATTGATGTAAGGAATGGCGCATTCAAACCAACAGCCAAAAAAACCCTCTTTTCCGTAATCCCTCATCAATACAGTCATCGTTTTATTTTACATGTGGGGATGAACAAATAGAACTGCTACATTCCTATAAATATTTCGGCCTTTGGTAACAGGTAAATTTAGATTTGAATTATACAGCAAAGGAAATTAATAAATCGAATTATGAAGTTTTTAACACTCTAAATAATTAGTTTGTCCAATCAATGTTTATCATATGGTTCGGCAATCTGGGGAACAAGGAATTTAGCTGCATTAATTATATATAATGTTGTACAGAAAAGAGCCTGTCGTTTCTTTTCGGATAGTAAAACTCACAATTTGGCAGAAAGATGTGAAATAGGTTGGTTATCTAGTGTAACAAAACAAAGAATTGTTAATGTTTTTTATACTTGGTACTTTAGATGAGGAAACATGGGTTATAATTAGAAAACATCGCGATGCCAGGGGGTTAATAAATGGCAATACATTTTTTAGTCCTCTTTGAGTGTTTCGCACACTATATTTGTAATATGAGTGACGTCTCAATGCCATATACAGGCAAAGTCCAGATGTGGCACACTACCTCTTATGTACTCGGTCGTTTCTTAAAGCCAAAAACTCCCCCATCAAATCGCTTCTGTCAAAAACTGAAATGCTTACAATGTTGAAGACGAGGTCCATTTTCTGAAAATTGTTATTCGGACTTGAGAATCTTGCTTCGTTTATTAACCCAAACTTCACATCTTAAGCGCCTGTAGACAAGACCGTATTCATTATTCTGGGTGATTATTTATCATCTTCTGTAGATGCACTGATCAAGATCATGTTCAAGCATAAACTTGACCGCAAATAATGACACAACTATATTGCCTTTTAACATCTTATGTTTGTACTATGGAATATTTTATTACCCGTAATGTATGCTGTATGGAGAAGTTGTGGGGAACCCGATTCCTTCATGACACTGGTTAATCATGTACTCATGGCTAATCTGTCCTGCCATAACAGATTGACTATGATCACATTGGCCTGGTGTTGGCTTTTTATGTAATAATCTTTAACGCCGCACTCAGCAATATTCCAGCTATATGACGGCGGTCTATAAATAATCGAGTATGGACCAGACAATCCAGTGATTAATATCATATGCATCGATCCACACAATTGGGATCGATGACATGCTAGACCAAGTCAGCGAGCCTGATCACTCGATCCCGTTAGTCGCCTCTTACGACAAGCATAGTCGCCTTTTACGGCAAGCATGGGTTGCTGAAGACCTATTCTACCCCGGGTAAGCTGGGCGATGTATACTATTGTATATGCTGTCTATTTTAACAATGGCGGATGCTCGTACTTCTTCTTCATCATCGTTAATTCCTTAACGTGATAAACAAGATTGGCTGTTGAAAATGCACGAATGTCTGCTGCAAAATCACTGGGAGGGAAAAGTCCATTATCCTCTGTTTTGTGTATGTTTAATGTTGTATGGTTAGACCAATTCTGGTGATCGAAAAGAAGCAAGCATATCGAAGCGAAATATTTTCGTCCTTTACTCCAAATGCCAAACTGAAGGCTTACGTATTTAATGGCATTGAACATACTTCAGACATAGGAATGTTTCAACAGGGGGTCACTTAAGCGACTTCTGATTACGTCTTTAGTGTTGGTAGACAAAGATAAGATGACGATAAGGTTGCGTAAGGACAAAGATAACCTCCATTCTATACTTCGTCGAAGCCAAAAACCAAAACTTTGTTAGTCGACTCTTAATACACGCCTAATATCCACGGGTATATTAAGTAAACAACCAGGAAATAGCACGTTTAAAAAATATTCATCAGATGAGTATATTTAGAGGTGAACTGAATCCAAACCAAACCTTGCTCAAACAGATTACATAGGACAATCACCCGTGACGATCCGGGGTAGAATAGGTCTTCAGCAACCAATGCTTGCCGTAAAAGGCAACTATGCTTGTCGTAAGAGCGACTAACGGGATCGGGTGGTCAGGCTCGCTGACTTGGTTGATGCATGTCATCGATCCCAATTGCATGGATCGATGCTCATGATATTAATTACTGGATTGTCTTGTCCAGATTAGATTATTTACAGACCACCGTCATATAGCTGGGATATTGCTGAGTGCGGCGTTAAGCAACAAACAAACAAACCAACATAGAACAATCGGAATAAAAAAGCTGTTTTATGTGGTTGCAGCCTTCACGTGTTTACTTGGGCGATTTTCCTCTGTGATTTCTTCTGCTGTCTCAATGAAAGACATAATTATGCATAGGCTTCGTGAAGTCACCAAGAGACTGTGTCTGTGTCTTTGTGTCTGTGTCTTTGATGTCACCCAACCATTACACTTGCAGTATAAATCAACCATGAGCTACAAATTGGCTGTTAGATAACACTGCCAAAGCAAAGGAAAGTGAATCGATAAGCACTGCATCATTAGAGGACACAGACGCAGCTTGTTGTAAACCATTCCACTGCTTCTAGGAAAATTCCGCTTGCGACTTGGTTTAAAAATCAATTCAGTTGTAATAGTATGTTGTTGCTACTGATTCTTTTATCTTTAGTCTACTTCTCATCGTCTATTTTAATTTCTGGATATGGAACCAAGTGGATGACTTTCAAAAATGTGATTGTTCAAAGAAACGTCATATTAGAAATTCCAAACATTGGAAATAGATTAAGTTGTGTGGGTCTATGTCTCCAGAACGAAACTTGTGTTTCTGTGTTCTACAGACAGCAACACCAACGGTGTCAGCTCCACGACGTTTTGTTCATGTCTCCCCAGGACGGACAACAGGAGACGGGTACAGAGTACTACAGCGTCACAACCGGTAAGCATTTAAATGAGTATTTCTAAGAACACACAGGCACACCAAAATTGGACTTTCATAATGAAATGAGTGAGTTTGGTTTTACGCCGCTTTTAGCAATATTCCAGCAATATCACGGCGGGGGACACCAGATATGGGCTTCACACATTGTACCCATTTCGGGATTCGAACCCGGGTCTTCGGCGTGACGAGCGAACGCTTTAACCACTAGGCTGTCCGACCGCCCCTTCATAATGAAGATAGAGTGAGTGAGTGAGTGAGTGAGTATGGTTTTACGCCGCTTTTAGCAATATTACAGCAATATCACGGCGGGGGACACCAGAAATGTACAAAGAATAATATCATATATCTATATTTGTTATTTAGGAGATAAACATACTGTTTTTTCAATGTAGAGCTAGGTTACCTGTAGATTTAACTGCGCTAAATTGAATTTTGAACCGAACGCGCAGTGTGAGGTTTCAAATGTTAAATTTAGCGCGGTTAAATCTACTAGTAACCTAGCACTACATTGAAAACACAGTATGTTTATCTCCATTCTACCATGACTAAATAAAACGCGAACTCTTTGGTGTTAACAAATATACTGAGTGAAGCGGCATTGGTTGAGTCCAGTGTTTTGAATGGGTTGTCGATCTGAATTACGGAATCACCGAACAAAATATGGCCCTGTATATACTCAAGCAGTTTGTTTACACCGTAATACTTCACACTCGAACATATGACAGGCATGGAAAGCATATAAGCATGGCAACTTGGTTAGCTAACACGAGGTGGGTATCCATAAAGAATTATGATTCTACCATGAATTTGGAATTTACTCGATTATCATTGGTCAATTAGAGGCTATTAAATCACAATAAACCCCTTCTGATTGAAAGAGCTGGTTTGACGGCCGCATCACCGCGGAAGCTAATATTCATAGAATAGTACTATTTTTAGTCATTGTCGGTAGGCATATTTAAATAATTATATCTACAATTACAGGTTACAAAATGCACAGATGCGGTTACTACAATATGCAAAGGATGTGTAGCAATACATTTCGTGCAGAAAAACACGACAGAAATCAACAAAGGGAATGTATTTACGCTTTGGAGACAACAGAGAGCTTGGAAGTTTGGCGCTTTTCTATATACGACTGTGATCGTTTGCGTCAAAATGAGCGATATGACGTCATAATGGTGATGTGCGACGTTAGAGCGAAAGCCTTGCAAAGCTTGCTTTGTTTTCTTTAGGGATGCTCACCTCATGTTAGCTTACCAAGTTGCCGTGCGTATATGCTTTCAATGCCTGTCATATGTTCGAGTGAAGTATTACAGTGTAAACAAACTGCTTCAGTATATACAGCACCTTTTTTTTTCGGTGATTCCGTAAATTTTCAGATCGATAACCCACTCAAAACACCGAACTCAACCCATGCCGCTTCACTCAGTGTATTTGCTAACATCAAAGAGTTCGCATTTTATTTAGTCATGGTAGAATGGAGATAAACATACTGTGTTTTCAATGTAGAGCTAGGTTACCTGTAGATTTAACCCCGCTAAATTGAATTTGGAACCGAACGCGCAGCGTGAGGTTTCAAATGTTAAATTTAGCGCGGTTAAATCTACAGGTAACCTAGCTCTACATTGAAAACACAGTATGTTTATCTCCTAAATATAATCTTTTTATTTTGTATAACCTCAACAGTTTGAAGTACATGTGATACACAGCTCAGTTTGCACATATCTGAATCTGAAGTTGATAAAATGATATGCTACGTTTTGTACAGCACAACTGGTAAAGAGAATCTCTTACATATTGACACGAACCACAATAAAACAATATCAGTTTATAGGACACTCTGTTGGTGGCACAGTATCTGCCATTCTACCCTGGCTGTCTCTGTTTTTACCGAACACTGTGATTGCCTACTGTTTCACGGAAATGAAGACGACTGTGTACGTTTGGCCCTCTTCGTGGCCAGCGGTGCATGTATAAAGGTGGATGTTTGTCCGGCTTGCCCTCATCTGGCCTACACCTTATATCGCCTTCACCTCATATGGCCTACACTAAATACAAATGGTTACTTCCACACCCCTGTTGTGTAGAATGGTACTGTCCATTAACCCATTCACGATTTCATTCATTATTATGAATTAATGACCTGAGTATATGGGCCTTTGAACTAATCAGATGTTTTCATAGTGGTATCTGATCCTTGAGTCTGTTTTGACTGTTTATACAGGATTACTGTTATAATCCACTTTGAGTGAGTGAGTGAGTGAGTTAAATTTTAAGTCACATCGGCAATATTTCAGCCATATTGTGACTATCAATAGTTAAACATAATACATATATTGAAACTTGTATAAAAACCTGTCAACGAAGGACAGTGAAATTACTAGATTCATCACAGAAAAAGATATAAAACTAGTAAGGAATTATTAAAGAGAACAGCACTATACATAACGATACCAGATAAAAACAGGCTATAAGATCGCCAGCAGCTGAAGGTAGACCACCATGCTAGGGTCCATGGGGACTTACAGTACTTTTGCTACCTGCATGGACCCCAGCCGGATAATCCACTTTGAATTTGTTTTGATAGTAGTGTAGGCGATATGAGGTGTAGGCCAGATGAGGACAGGCTGTTTGTCCACCTCACCGGTGAGGATGGATATTGTGTAGGACGTCTCTGATTTTATTTGTTTATTCTTCTTTACCCATGAATGTCCTTTCGGGTTTATTATCATATACTCTACATATCTTTGTGGCGCTGTGTTTAATTTTCTAATTCTTGCTACGATAATGGCCACGTCCATGCATACAAAATGAAGATGAAGGACCACCAGTTTATATGTTTAGAAACTCATGTAAGCAAAACTGATCACTCACAGGCGCGTTTTGTCAAGCTTAAAAATTGAAGGAGATTATCTTATATCTCTACTGAAGATACTTTTCTGTGGGCAAAAATGGAAATTGAAATTGATCTTTTAAAGTAAAGTTCTAATTAGAAATACGTTATACTCTGACAATAAAGAGTGAGGTGAAATACTACATGTATGCTGATCAATATAGAAAGTCGTCCAAAACATAACAAGCAGGGGTCCGGGTAAGAGTATAGGTCCCGGTCAACCTACATGTATGCTTGTCGTAAGAGGCGACCAGAAGGATCGGTGGTCAGACTCGGGGACCCTTTGTATTGCATGTCATCTTACTTCAAGTGCGCGGATCGATATGTATGATGCAGTTAGGTTGGGCGTCAATCAAGGTGTTCCTGTACGTTTGTTGCAGTAGTGATGCATCATTTCTTGTGATAAAAGCTAAAAGTGCATATATATTTAAATACTGATATTTGTTTTTAAACAATTTGGTTACTTGTGAAGAAACGATAGGAAAACTCTTAACAATCTTCATCATCAATGGATTCTTACAGTTAATTAACCCACAGTTAAATGCTGAGTCATGTCCTTGTGGTGTATGCTTACATGTATATCTGCCATATATTTTTACAATAGTCCAAATTCGATTTTCTTCATCACATGTTATTTTACATCAAGAATTTACTACACCCGTGACGATCCGGGTAGAGAATATGTCTTCAGCAACATTGCTTGTCGTAAGAGTCGACTAACGGGATCGGGTGGTCAGGCTCGCTGACTTGGTCCATGCATGTCATCATATCCCAATTGCGTAGATCGATGCTCATGATGTCAATCCCAATTGCGTAGATCGATGCTCATGATGTCAATCATACCCGTGAAGATCCGGGGTAGAATAGGTCTTCAGCAACCAATGCTTGCCGTAAGAGACGACTATGCTTGTCGTAAGGGGCGACTAACGGGATCGGATGGTCAGGCTCACTGACTCAGTTGATGCATGTCATCGTATCCCAATTGCCTAGATCGATGCTCATGAAGTCAATCACTAGATTGTCTGGTCCAGACTCGATTATTTACAGGCCGCCGTCATGTAGCTGGAATATTGCTGAGTGTGGCGTTTAACAACGAACAACCAAGCAAACAATCATGATGTCAATCACTGCATTATCTGGTCCAGACTGGATTATAAAGACCGCCATCATATAGCTGGAATATTGCTGAGTGCGGCGTTAAACAACAAACAAACATAACCAATCAAGTATTTTGTCATGTGGATATTGTTTAGATATTTTATGAAAATGTTTTCGGCGACCACTAATAATTACCAGAGTCAAAACATAATCTACGGAAACATTTAGCATTGTCTGCTTCCCAAAACAGTCTCATATTTGCAAAAATATTTGCGTCAAGCATTAGATAGAAAGTTCAATTTTCTCCGTAATTGTACAGTAAAAACTGCATTAGTTCTGATGAGTTTTAGTCAGGAGAGTGAGTGAGTGAGTGAGTGAGTATGGTTTTACGCCGCTTTTAGCAATATTCCAGCAACATCACGGCGGGGGACACCTGAAATGGGCTTGACACATTGTACCCATGTCGGGAATCGAACCCGGGTCTTCAGCGTGACGATCGAACGCTTTAACCACTAGGCTACCCGACCGCCCCTCAGGAGAGTGAAAATGAACAATGTGAAACTTCGAACATGATTTACAATATGTCCGCCCGGGCAGTGATAATGAGAACCTTTTTGTGGCCATAACTTTTTGTAGCCATTTCTGTATATCATATAACGAGGTTGGTGTGTGTTTAGTTTGGGGTGAGTGAGTGAGTTACAATTTCACGCCACATCGGCATATGGCGGCGAGAAGAAGTTGACATACATAATATTGAGTCATGAATACAAAGTTATATTAACAGTTGTTAAACATATTCGGGCACAACAGTATTACAACCGTTTAAAACACGGGCTATGGGCCACCCGTAACCAAAGCTGGGGACTAACGCTGCCTCAGCTTCCTGCACGATACCCCAGCAGGATTTAAGTCACTACTTTAGCTGCTGGTGGTTGTGCAAAATACATGCTACAATTTAAGAAATGCTCAGCAACGTGTTGGCTTAAAACACTGGTTGATGATAGTTTCATTGATTATGACAGGAATTACGCGACACACAGGGAGGACAATAATTGTACGGTACTTTAACCTCCCGAGCAGAGCCTTCAATAACCTTTGTTGATAAAAGCATCGTACCAAATTTAAAAACAAGCAATTTGTTATTCACATATATATTTAAAGTTTATTATACAGACCATTTTCTTTTAAGCAGCTTAGAATGAGATGCCCGCTCACACGGGAAAAAGGTTTTTCAGAGTTACTATTTGGCATTTGAATCCATTGCGATTGCAAAGTCCACACAGTCAAGAGTAAGTATTTGTACTAATTAAACAATCTTTGTTATGCGTCGGTCTTTGTTGACATATACTGATGAAAACGAATGAGGGAACAATGAAAAATATAGGAAAAAAACTTTACTGGCAGCACATTTGAAACAACGCGCATCAGAATCGAATGTTGAGATGTGTTTGTGTGCATTGTTTCCAACGCATATTTGGTAGCCAAGGCTGTGAAACCATGAGAGCATTTCATTTTAAATATAACTGTTCCTTTATTTCTATCGGTATATTTAGTGAGTGAGTGAGTTAAGATTTATAGTCACGTCGGCAGTATTTCAGCCATATGGTGACTAAATAAAGTTGTCGGTATATTTAGCTATTGTCTACATATTCATTGCTACATTGCCGTATATAGCAACGTGCATGCACGTGTGTGTGCATGTGTGGCTGTTTGTACTAGTCCTGACTAATGCCGATTTTATAGTACTTAGCCGACTGCGATGCAATGCCGCAGTTTAATATGAATACCCCAATCAGACACAGTGTACTGACTCCGAGCAGACCAGTTTTTATACCCTTAATGCGGAGCGCCAGACAAGGTAACCACGTCCGTTGGTATGACGCGGCCAGGGATCAAAACCCAGCCTTCCGCTATCGGTCGGACCACTAAGGTGGACACGACACCCGGAGTGCCAGGTGTAACATGAAACGGTCTAAATATGTCCTTTCCAGGTGGATGTCCCTCGACGTATGTCCACAACCGAATTCTTAACATCTGCTACCAGGTTCATCTGAGCGCAACGACCCTTGCCATCGGCGTGGCGGACTGTAACTCCAGAGGGGAACACTTCATTGTCATTGACAGTGAAGACAAGAACAACCACGTATTCAAGCAAGTCAACTCCTCCTCCGGTTAGTACTTTGCCCTCTGCACTTACTTGAAACAATAAGTATCCAATGTTTGTTTAACTGATCCTTTAGTTTAGTAATTAATGAAGTGTTGTTTTTTAAACTCATTTTTAGCTAACCTGCCCGTAAAGGCCACGTGATTTCAAAGCACTTTTTTCCAAAACGTGGTTGTGAGATGGTCACAATATCTAGTTCCATGTATGTTCGATACGTCTCTTGATCGGACATTAAATGGCTCCGATGAAAAGTCATTCATGTGCCATCCGTCAGTATGTTCTGTATTTCCGATATTCATTGTTTTGACCTTGATTTACCCTTTGCCTAGGACCATGCTTTAAACTTCTCCAACAAAACATCCCTTGGCACTGTTAACATAATCGCCTAAGAGAAGCCTAATTGTTAAGGCTGGTGTCCAACAATAATGACAGCAGAATTTATATATATATGTCGATTGTTCGACATGTTTCAGCTTTATCTTCAATACATATATATTTCTTACCCACGTGATAAGATACTAAATCCGTACATCTGTCACACCAGGACAACTTTTTTCATTCATAACAAATCGCTAGACGTCATACATTTTGCAACTACAAGGCAGAACTGAAGCAATCTCATGAGAGCGAGAGATATTTACAAACACTTTATTAAACCAAACAAGATAGTCACACGCATCAAATTCTGTTTGCATTCTATATTAGTTATGCATAGAGCTTCTACAGACATTATATAATCGAGCTATATCCGTTTACAATGTACGACTACCGATCAATAGATCGAGGGTCCCAATGGGCGTGACCCACCCGACCACTTTCGCACCTTTCAATTTGATTTAACGAAAAAGGATAAGCGTGGTGAAATGAAGTCAGTTTAAACTATATGGACAGATATCTAGACTTACTTGGGATGATCCGGTTGTGCCATCAGTGTCCCATTCGAAACGAATTTTGTGACACGTTTCGGGAGTTGTGTGTTCACGACTGCACTATCAGAACACTCAAAGTGAACATTTCCAATTCAAATAATTCGAAAACCATGTAGACGTGTGCCTCACTTCTGATAAAGTGGCCCAAAATATCCCAATTGTGAACAATAACGTACATTCCCTATCTCTAGCATAATACGCTGTGAGTAGATCACGGTTGCCTTTCTTATTCCGGTGGTGACCTTGCCCTTCGATCGTTCGAAGCTGTCACTGACATGCAAGCAGACTTGAGTTTGTTGATTTTCACGTCTTCAGTATGGTAGAATGATACAGTTAACGTGAATGTCTTTGGCGAACACTCTGTTTTCCCTCTTCCAAAATGGTACGGACATGATGTAAATTCAGCTGATAAATCAAGGAAACCGACGATTTTGATTGCACAGCAGGGATACAGGCAGTGCGAGTGACCGACTGTTGGTCCGATATTCAAAGCGCGGCGCTAATGTGACTTTTCAAATTTTCTAATAGGTGTCCTGCGCACTAACATTATGGCGCTTGAATTACCATAGGTTGAAGAAATTCTTCCAAAAGAATCTTGAGCGTCGGTGCTGTTATGTTTGCAAACACAACTGCAGGCGCATGTTGTTAATGCGTATGCATAGAAATGTCAACAATGCCCATACTTGGGCATTTATCAATATTCATGCGCAACCAGATTTTGCAACCGGTTTCAGTTTGGTCTGTCAACGAACGAAAGTTGTTATGTATTTACACTTTAATATATATTTAACGTAGGTAATAAATAAAATACCACACTGATTCGCGTTAGATACCATTTTTACGAAACTCGTGAACTTTCTATGGTATCTAACGAGAATGCGTGTAGTATGCGTATGGATGTGCTGAACCAATATCTGCATCCAAGGTTATTTGACATTTGGCACGCCTACCTGAAAATGACAGCTGGCGAGCCCTAGGAATGCCTGAATCTAGTACGTTGCAGCGTGACGCCACATGTCAATTAAACGTCCACAGTGGCACTTATGATTACGTTGTAAACAGAACAGCCACGTCAGAAACCGTTCCCGTAGTGGCCGCCCACCCGTGACAACCCCTCGCCTTATATAAATCGGGTGGTCAGGCTCGGTGACTTGGCTGATTGCGTGTCGTCTACCCCAACTTGGGTTCATAATGTCAATAATTGGTTTGTCTGGTCCCGGCGATTGTCAAATTACTTAACCCAGACGGGTGGTAGAATTCGCCCGATTCGCTACATAGGCTGGTCACCCCATGCCCTGTGCATGGAAAACTTGTATTCAGAAATATCAAAGAAAATAAATTGAAATGTGATTTTAGGCAAATTTATATTTTGCCTTGAGTACTATGCCAGAAGGTGGTGGCTCATGGGCCAATCTGGTGCTGAGGACCGCTGAATTCTGTGTTTCTCAAAAGAAATGGCATGGCCTGAACCAGTCTGAAATTTCTTCATTTAGATTCCTTAGCTATTCATGATTATATTCCAAGATTATACGATCCATGTAGTCCTGGTGTTGCAGTCTGGCTTCCACTGCAACATCGTCCTTGTTGACACTCGATGGCGGGTGGGTTGCTGAACCTTCTTATCATACCATGGCTCAAAACTCACACTCTGGTTCATCGAAAGCAAGTAAGAGAAGATATCTCTATTCTTCATCTGATGAAGAAGTCTCCCCTTCAGTAAAAGATTCTGGGCCAAGGTTTTGGTTTATTGAAACTGTAGATGGTAGTCCCTTAAAACTCAATCCGTTTGCTGTCTCCAAAGGCATCCAAGGTGCATGTGAAGATGTTAAAAATGTCACTCGCCTCTGGAGTGGTTCACTCTTAGTGGAATGTGTCAAGAGGCAGCAATCTATCAATCTGCTGGGTCTACAGCAGTTTGTTAACACTCAGGTTGTTGTCTCGGTACACAAGACACTGAATACTTGGAAAGGCATCGCCAGAGACGTTTCTTTCTGTTATGTCGGAAGAAGAAATTGTTGCTGAGTTGAAAGACCAAAGAGTATCTACTGTAAAACGCTTTACAATAAAGCAAGATTCAAACATTATAAATACAACTACTTATCTTTTCACTTTCGGAATGACTACCCTCACAAAATCGGTTAAAGCTTGTTACTGTAACATTGGAGTGGAGATATATGTACCAAATCCACTCTGTTGTTATAACTGCCATAAGTTTGGACATGGTGCCAGGTCTTGCACCGTCAAGGCAAGATGCTCACATGGCAAGAGTTCATGACAGGTCCAACTGTACAAATGACAATGAAGCCCAGATAACCTTGGATAACCTTGGATCAAAGTGCTCAAGTATCTTATGAATCTAAACGTTCATCAGTCCCCCAGACTGTGGAACCACAACCAGAAACTCCACCAGAGCCAATATGTGCTCTTGATTCATCTCAGGACATAGTTCCGGGTGTTGCTCACCTCACAAAAAAAAGAGAAGAAACATTGAGAAAAAAGACCAGAGCTCTTCAACATTTGGAGGTGCCTCCTACTTTGGCAACTCCTGTAACGGTTCAAAATCCGTTTGAACCTCTTCACATTCCTTCACACTCAGAGCATGGGAGTGGCGCTTCAACACGCTCACGTGCCCTGGTTAAACCTCCCTGAGAAGGTCTCACAATTTAATACAATGGAATTGCAGAACATTTGGGAACAAGTTAAGTTATCTACAATCATTTAGACAAGATTTACAACTATCAGTTTTTAGTTTATAAGAGACATATCTGAAAAATACGGATAAATTTTATCTTCGTCAGTACAATTCATATAATTTATTTTCACCTCCAGGAGTTAAAGCCACTGGTGGTGCTTCTATTTTGGTGAGGCAGGGTGTCATCCATAGCCCTGTCTCTCTCAGATGCAACCTTCAAGCTGTTGCAGTCCGATTTTCTTTGCATATAACCTTCACACTTTGCGCACGTCTTCCTCCCTTCAACAGTCTGATCTTCAAAATGTGTTTGACCAGCTCCCTTAAACCCTGTATCATCATAGGCGATCTAAATTGGCATTACTCTCTACGGTGAAGTGTTGATGCCAATGCTAAAGCGAAACTCCTTGAAGACTTCATTTCAAATAAAATTTTATGCATCTTTAATGACGGTTCTGCCACATATTTACATCCCACTACCGTAACTTATTCCGCACTTGATCTGTCACTCACATATTCAAACATTTATAACGAATTTGAATGGTCGGTCCACGATGACCAATGTGGAAGTGACCATTTTCCCACAATACTTTCAGCTATCAAACCAACTGATGATCCACCTGCGACAAGGGGGAATTTAACTAAGGCCAACTGGCTCTTATTTCAAACACTTTGTTCAAGACAAATTGAAGTCTGACATTTTTTATCAATGCCCCTGACCTTATTCAGTCGTTCAAGGACTAACTGAATAATATTGCTGATGTAACTGTTCATGAGTCCACTGCTAACATATATCTTCGTAAACCATGGTTTTCTGATGACTGTAAATGGACTAGGACGTGTAGGAAAAAAATGCTGAAAAATACTTTCGCCGCCATCCTACAGTTATCTAGATACTGTAAAGATAAATAGTGCCAAGGCTCGACGCACATTTAAACAAAATCGGTGACATTCTTGGAAGAACTTTGCGTCAAAGATTATTTCCCGTACACCTATGACAAAGGTGTGGTGGTGGTGGTGGTGGTGGTGGTTGGTTGTTGTTTAACGCCGCACTCAGCAATATTCCAGCTATATGACGGCGGTCTGTAAATAATTATATCGAGTCTGGACCAGACAATCCAGTGATACAAAAATTAAAGGGAAATTTCAAATACTAGTGTTCATCTCAAAGAAGATCATGGTCTACTAACACAAACAAAATTGACATTACAAATAAATTGGGTGAAACTTTAGCTAAACATTCTTCATCATCCAATTATAATCCCCAATTTAAGAAGCATAAAAATCAACAAGAAAAGAAAACTTTTCATTTTCATTCTGATAATGGTGAATTCTACAATGAAGTCTTTTCATTACGTGAGCTCATTACTGCCCTGACGCAAGCCCATGATACCGCAACAGGAGCTGGTCATATCCACTATCAGCACCTCAAACATTTACCCAATTCATGTCTAGAAACGATTTTAAGTATTTTTATGATATTTGGACAACAGGACACTTCCCTCATACGATGCACAATGCCATTGTTATCCCTATACCAAAACCAATCCATCTAACTATCGACCTATTTCATTAACAAGCTGCGTTTGTAAAGCCACGGAACGCATGGTCAATAATCGACTAGTATGGTTTTCAGAAAACAATGATCTTCTTACTAATATTCAATGTGGTTTCCACAAAAATAGAAGCACTATTGACCATTTGGTTCGTTCAGAATCATTCATAAAAAAATCCATTGTAAATAACCAGCATGCTCTTCGACCTTTTTCAACCTTGAAAAGCTTATGATACAAGATGTAAACATGGTATTTTAAAACGATTGACATGACGTTGGTTTGAGAGGCCGTTTGCCTCATTTTATCGCAGATTTTACCTGACAGACAATTTCAAGTTCGTGTTAGATCAACCCTGTCAGATAATCAGGATCAGGGGGGGTTCCACAAAGAAGTATTTTGTCTGTTACCTTGTTCAGTATAAAGATAAAAAGACAATTGATGACTCAATTGATGTCTCATTGTTTGTGGATGATTTTAATATCTCATGTCGGGGTAAAAATATGTGTACTATCGAACGCCAATTACAGTTGTGTTTAATCAAATTGATAAATGGTGTCTTGACAATGGCTTTAGGTTTTCACAGACCAAGTCCAATTGTGAACATTTCTGTCGAAAATATAATCCCCATAAAGACCCCAAACTCTTTTAAGATAGCACTCCAATCAAGATTGTAAAAGAAGACAATTATTTAGGATTAATTTTCGACCATCATTTAACTTTTTTGGCATATATTAAATATCTGAAGACAAGATGCCGGAAGGCCTTAGATTTGTTAAAAGTCGTTTTAAATTCAAAGTGGGTAGGGGATCAGATATCCCTTCTTCACTTATGTAGATCTCTTATACGCTCTAGACTGGACTATGGCTCCATTGTGTATGCAGGAGATTGCAAGAGTAATTTTAAAAAAAAACTGGATTTAACAAACCATGAAGGATTAAGGATTGTCTTGGTGCTTTTCGAACTTCTCCGGTTGTCGGCCTCTATGTTGAGGCTAATGAACCCTCTTTAAAACAACACCGTACTAAATTGTCTCTTCAATATATTACTTAATTTCGTTCAAATCCCACCAATCCTGCTTTCAAAAGAAACCATAGCTGGTTCCTCAACTTGGAATTCGGTTCAAATCTCATATTACTGCTGCAAATTAAGATCAGGATATTATCTCTCCCTACCGAAGTAGACTTTTCCCTGACACGTTTCATAAAATCTGACACAAATTAACTAGTATATCAACAGGAATATGTACAATTCAGAACTAAAAATGACACTCATCGTTCAACCTTTACTAATAGGTCCAAGGATGGTGGCAAAGTAGCAAGTGCCACTGTCGTTGGCTCGAAAATTATATCATCTATAATACCATACAGTAGCTCTATTTTCACTGTTGAGGCCAATGCTATCCTTACAGCCTTGGTATATATTTAACGACAGTCTGCATGTAAACATTTCTTTGAGAGGCAATTAGAAGTTGGAGTACTAAGTAAGGATAAGATATATGGATGAGCATCTTTTTTATTACAATTAAGAACGATAAACAAAAGGGTGAAGCCAGTAATATAAACACCAAAAGGATTATTATACTGTCCTTCATCGACAGCTTTTATAGATATTGTATAACTTTTTCAAGTCACACTATGGCTGAAATATTGCTGACGTGACTTACAATTCAAGCCACTCAATCATTGTTATTGTCATTGTTTGACCCTTGACTAACCACTAGCTATTTACAATTGTTCTCTGGTAGTCCTGTACAATGACTGTTGAAACTATGTACTTTATGAAACCAAAACCAATCTAGATTACAAGTATTCAAAAGCAGTCCCAGCCAGTTCTATTCCACATAAGAAATCAAGAGCAGGAAATGAATCTGCAGAGGAGAAACTTGTATTGTGTGATAAAGGTTTCATAGACTAAATATATTATGAGTTTGTGAATTAAAATCGGCACATCGGCACTATTTCAGCAATATCGTGACCAATTCAACATTACTAGTGTCACGATTATGAACCAATATAGACCTGAGACGCCAATATAATGACTGAAATCCTGATCAGCATGGATTCCAAATCCCTCAGATCGGTTGACGATCATGCTTTTGGACACGACAATACCACAATTTGAAACCGCGAAGGTCCATATTTGAGTTTTGAATCAAGTGAATTAGTTCACTGAACCTTCCATTCATGATTGACTGAATGTAGGTTTTTTTTCTGTTTCCAGCCAGCATGACAGACAAATATCACATCGATGGGTCAGATGCTGCAAATGAGGGAAAATGGCTTCTCCATGACGGTCGGGTCATGACGTACTTTGCGTGGGCTTCAGGGTACCCAAGGAATACAACCGGGAAGCACTATCTCGTTGCAGACATTTCGGATAGCTTTCGATGGAGAGATAGAACTGGTTTGAAAGATAAACTTTACATTTGTGAGAGAGACATTTGATAAAGATCGTCGAGGCCAGATTAGAATACTGATGAAGTCTTTGATAGGCATTTAGTAGTCGGGTGTCATGAATACATTCCCGAACAAGGTGATGCCGATGATATTGCAGACATGTTCTATCCTGCGCTCATATCGAAAGAGTGCGATTAAAGAATAAAGCAAACACTTAATTTACTTATGTGTACCCACGGAATCCATATATTGAACAGAAGGCTCGGTGTGACTCTGGTGGTTAGAGGCGCTGGGTTTGTTTACTATATGCACGTTCAACTGATTTATTCAGTTCTATTACAAAATTTCAGTGTTTAAACCAGGGTAGATTCAGATCATTTCCAGATAACATGCCAACGAAAACGCTATGAGAAAGATATAACTATGTCTGAGTCTTCTAACATCACTGCTGTTGAGAAACTCTTATGGCGTCCAGCAGAAAGCAGAGACATTTAAGCAGGCTTCAGAACGTGAGTTAAATACGGAGGAGTTTGATCGAATAGTACATCTCTTAATGCCCATACTCTTATTGACAGTATTGAATCGACTGCTTTGAGCTGTGGTATGACACGAAGTGTAAATACCAAAACTTTCTCCAAGAGTGCATGTTTGAAAGTGTCAAATATAAATCAATAGACAGTTTTAGACTCACAGGTAACTTTGGATCATTGAGACAGTTTCATAAGGTCCGAGTTAAATTCCGAGAGATATGTCGTCATCGTAAAGAACTTTTATATTCAATAATCACAAATGATATTTTATTACACTGTAACAGTATGTGACATGATGTCAATAATTATCTTCAAATATGACTCTTTGTGGGAAATATACAATCGTTTGAAAGGTGTTGTTGAGTTTATGAATGTGTATCAAGGTGATTTACGTAAAGGGTATTTTACCATAGACAATATATTTACTCTACAAGGCTTTGGCAGAAGTACTTAGATCGTACCAAGATCGTTTTTATTGCTGATTAGTAGATTTCCGTAAAGCTTTTGATTCGTGTAACAGGGACCTTTTATTTTATGAGTTGTTAGCTAGTAGCATTCATGATCGTATGTTTAAAACTATCAAAGATATGTATTCAAAAACAGAAGCCAGTGGTAAATTCTCTAAGTCGTCTGTTACAGATTTTTTGGATTACTTGAACGGAGCAGGACAAGGTTGCATTTGAAGTCCGCTTTTGTAATCTTTATTTGTAAGTCAACTGCATGAAGATTTAGAACAGTGTAGTGACAGAGGTATTTTTGCATTTGCACTGAATCTTTTGAAATGTACATGTATTGTGATATGCGGATGATTTGGGTTTATTTATGATTGTCTGACAGTGTAATTGGTTTACAAAGAAAAATGGACATGTGAGAACAGTTTTGTCACAAATTGGGATTGAGTATTTATTTTTATTATTTGAGGACTGAAGTTTCATTTTCTAGAAATGGTGGAAAACTTCGGAAAAGTGAATTTTGTTTTATTGGTGGTAGAAAGATTTCAACCTATTAATATTATTCGGGACAGGTATTTTCAAGTAACTTTCCTGGTCAAAATCAGTTCAAAATCTTGTGAATAAAGCCGACAAAGCACTGTCCTCTATACAATTCTTGTTAACAGGTTTGAAAAATATATCCCATGTAGTTCTTTTCAAAATGTTTTACATCCACATAAAACCAATTATTGTGTATGTATCTGAGATGTGGGGATTCCAAAAGTGGTATGTAATGGAACAATTTCATGTAAGATTTTGCATATATATCTTAGGCGTTAATTATAATTGTGCTCATGTTGCTATCTTAGCTGAATGTGGTAGATGTTATATTTTTGTTGTCTCTTTGTTGAGAATGGATATCTGCTTTCTATTTGACCAAACAGTGTTAACTTATGTTGCACAACCTGGACAAGATAGGACGCAAAACGTGATAATATCAATAGATATGGTTTTGTTTGGGAAGCTCATAGAGTTGGCAATAAAGAGCACTTTCTGTTTGAATATGAAACAAGGATAAAAAATGCCAAATCTGTATTCTCATATTTTTCCAACTGTTCATAATTGGATATGCATTCTCAAATTAAAACAATCATTCTGTATAGAAACCTAGCTGTTAAACATTAAATCAAAAGATGCACGGCGTAGAACTACTTTATTAAGGATTGGTGAACTTTTCATTTACAAACAAATTGGTTGACGTGATGATATTCTTCGTCAGGGTCGTTTTTTGTTAAATATGTTATTCAAATATCGGGGAAGATGAATTTCACTTTCTCTATAAATGTCGAATATATCATGAGCTTCGTCAAAACATTTAATAAATCTACCTTCGTACATCTACAATAACTTCCTAATTCATTTGTTAAAATGCAGTAATCTGTCGCGTTTATTGTATTACTCAGATTACATTACGGATGCTTTAATTTTACGTAGTTAATTTCTATAGCAACATTGTTATTTTGCTATTAAACTCTTGTTTTTGCATTTTCAAAATAGACATTTTATGAACGTGGGCCTAAGTACGATGCTTCATTACGTTTGTTAAGTACAATCTGAATTTGAAATTCAAACATTTTCTTCAAAAATACAAAAAAATATGTTCCTTTTTAATGATCGGCAAAATCATGAACTATCACGCATTTAGCTAGTAGATTCTGATTTTCTGAGTTGATGAATTATTGAATCAGTTGAGTACTTAGCAGAGGTTATGAAACTTGTAGTTCAAAAGGTTGATCCTGATAAAAAAAAGTCTTGCAGGGTCATGCGTTGCCCCGTCGTCTAAGGCGCTGTAATTTGCTGTCCTGTGCAGAGACGAGACAGAATCCTATTATCGTGGGTTTGAATCCCAGATTCGCCCTGATTATGTATCCAAGTTTGTCAACACGAATCCCCTTCTTCGTTTGATTCCCGGAAGTGGAAAAGGTCTAAGCCAACTTAGCCAACGTTGTGATATAACAGGATCACTGTTCAAAGAGGCGTTAGACTCAAAGACCTAGAAACCAGTTTCCCTTTAGCTTCCAAACATTGAAGAGAGTTTCCAGTGTGAAACAAAGCAGTTTTTCTTGTGTAATTAGGATAAACATTAACTGCTTAATCAGCATAAATCCTAAAATTTGAGTTGAAGACAAATAAAATGATGACAATTTTGCTTCCGTCTGCTGAACAGGGTTCCCCATTTCCAATGCGTCTTTATACAAAATAAACATGTATATTATAGGGAACATACTTTGTTCCATTGCAATTCTGAACAGGTTGATCGGCATAAATATTATGATTAATCTAGATAAGAGTTTTTAGCCGTTTGCAGACAAGCACGTACATGTATGTATACTGAACCGCAAAAGAAACGTCACCATGGATAGATATATGAGAAACCGTATTTGTCCAAACACTGTAAACATACGTTGAAACATATTAAAAAGATGACACTTGGCAAAACTGATCATCAAGGTTGGAATTAAAGTGTCCAATGTTCTCAAAGTGGAACAGAACACTAGTCTCTGAGAAAATGGCATTACAAGTCAGTATTTCGTGTGTCCGCCATGTGCATTGATGACTGCCGTGCAACGTCGATACATGGAATGTATTAGGCGGTTTATGAAGGCCATAGGCATTTGAACCCTCTGAAGAACGCCTGACGCTGTTCAGCTGCAGTTGTCGGCCTTGGACGTCAGTCAGCCGTATTTGAATCTCGTCCCACAGGTGCTCAATGGGATTTTAATCAGGACTGAGGGCAGGCCACGGCATGGTCATGACGCCATTCTGCTGGAGGAAGTCTATTGTTGCTCTCGCAGTGTGGGCACAGGGGTTATCATGCTGAAACTCGTGGTTGCAGCGACGTGCCAAATGAGGTATGGCGTGTGGTCTCAAGACTTGATCAATGTACCGAGCTGCTGTGACACCATTGCCTCTGCCTGGACCGATGTTCTGGAAGACCACAGGGCCAACCCCCTGTGCAAGACCACTTCCACCCAACACCATGATGCTCGGACCACCCCACGAGTCACTCTCAACAACACAAGCATCCGAATAACGTTCTCCGCGGCGTCGCAAGACTCTCTCTCTGCCATCTGCTGTTGAGATACAGTAACAGCTCTCGTCTGAGAAGAGGACTCTTCTCCACTGCTGGTGGCGCCAATGCTGGTGCTGTGTTGCCCACTGATACGGTCCCGGCGATGACGTGGTGTCAGAATGGGTCCTCGGTGTGGCCTGTGACAGTGGAGGTGTCTGCTCGTCAATCGTCGACGTACGGTGTCCGCACTAATGTGTCGCTGGTGTGTCCCCATGGTCTGTCGAGCAGTTTCCGCAGCAGTACCAAAGCGATCTTGAAGATGCTGTCGCACAATCTGACGATCCTGACGTCGGGTGGTGACCCTTGGTCTATTAACTACGTGGTCGGTCATCTGTAGTGTTGGTGGTCTGGTACCGTTGCTGGAGCCTGTATAAGGTCCTTATGTGGACTTGAAATGCATTGGCTAGTTGCCGGCGGTTTGTCCAGCTTGCAATCATCCAAGGGCTTTGTGTCGCTGATTTCTTGTCAATCTTGGCATGTGGTAGCAATTCAATAACGAATTGAATGTTATCCGATCTGGGTGGATTTTTATATGGCAAGAAATGGGGGAACGTATGTGCATCTCAATTTGCACGGAACTCACGTGCATCGGGGTACCATGGCCGTTGCCATGCTGCTGTCATCTGCTTTTTTTTATCATCAAATTTCATTTTTCCGGACAAGGTAATGTTAAATTTTAAAAACTTTGCAAAAATTACCCCGATATCTTAATAACAACTTTTCATGCAATTTTGCTTGGGGTGACGTTTCTTTTGCGGTTCAGTTTATAATGTTTAGACAGACAACGTGCGTTGATGACAAGATCACTCTGCACGCTGCGACAAACCCATTAACTTTTCTCTTTGCCCTTGTGCTATCCACGTGAGACTTGCGGTACATGTCAATAAGTAATTGTTGTACAGTTGCGTTGATCTAGTGGCTCTAGTTGCTTTTGGTATTGATCGCATCGCACCAGGTTTGTGCCATTAATTACCTTTACACATTGATAAGGAGCATGTACACATTTAATAAATGCTCACATACGTTGGCAGTATTAGTACAACTCACCATAGCGATGTACTTCGATAGATGTTGCAAGATTTAGATACAGCCATCTTCCCGCGACAAAGGTGAAACTGACTTCACTTTCAGTGATTGATATCATGAGCATCGATCCACGAAAATGGGATCGATGACATGAATCAACCAAGTTAACGAGCCTGATCATCTGATCCCGTCAGTCGCCTCCTACGACAAGCATAGTGGCTTTTTACGGCAAGCATGGGTTGCTGAAGACCTATTCTACCCCGGATCTTCACGGATCTAGACACTGTATGCACTTACCCAACACGCGGTCTAGCTTCAATGTTGTTTTGAGTACATGCACCAGGAGTGGGAAGTATCTGGATTTGTGCAGCTTTAAATCAATACAAATATCAAGGTAATCATTTTGCTCACACCTCACCCTATAATATGGTTATTAAGACACGCTTAATGATTTTGTGACACGATGAAAACTAATTCTGTTTCAATCATCAGCCGACGCAAATTTCCAATATGAATATAATAATACAACCATTCTAGCTTGCATATTGATGCATGTGAAATAGACTTCAAATTATCTTCAAGACTTTTGAGTAATGAAATAATTTGGAAATAGTTTTTATCAATCCGGATGTGGACTGCAATGTTGCATTTAGACTTTTAACCCATATCCCTGAATTGGCTGACGCACCAGTAATGGATTTACAAGCCCTGTTGTTGCATATTATGGCAAATGTTTTGGCATCGATCAACATTATGGTCAAAGAAGTAAGTGCAAAATATGCTG